TGTTCTGATACTGAGTCCAGATTAAGGATGAGATTGTGCTCAAAAGATACAGGCTTTTTACAGTAGGTGAGAAGTGAACTGTACACAGAGCGAGAAGTCAGTTTCTCAGATTATCTGCCTAATTCCACATAATTTAAGAGATCAGAGCCTGAGGAAATAACTCCAGGTCCAGAGTGCTGCACTTTAAAAAGCTGTATTTCACTTATCTAAGATATTATACCCTGCCAGCATTAATGCCACTGCTAAGCTCCTTAACCAAGAACTTGAAAAGCTTCATCTGTTCTGCCTTTTGTGAAGGGCTGCAGCCATGTAGAACTTCAAAGGCAGCTCTTTACATTAGCATTTGAAGAAAAATCATGGCACTATTTTATTATGACATTTTTTATAAGACTAAAGTTTGACAGTGTTTTAAAGACGTTATCATTGAAGAATGTGCTTACAGTACAGCATTTACATTTGACTATAAATATAGGTTAACATTTAAAACTTTGTATCTGTAAACATTTTAGCAAAGCATTTACAACCATGCCTATTTTTAGAGGATAAATATTTATTTATAATCTAGGTTGTCTGTCTTAAACAAAAATAATGAAATATAATCACTTTATACAGGCAATTCTCTACTCGGCAATATTAAGGCAATTGTTATACTGTTTATTTGGGGGAAAAATCAGCTTTTGTCATATTTAGACTTACTCTAGAACTTACCATTGCAGTTTCCAAACAATGAATGCCAGAGATTGATTGCTGTGAGCTTCTAATTAGCTTGGCTACTCCAGTATTTTCACAATTCTGTCACACTACAAAAAGGCATTCTGCAAAATCAAGTCAAAATGCTCAAACATTTGCCTAAAGCAGTTACCTCATTAGAAAGTTAGAGGTTTTTAAAAATCAGAAGTACATTCCAGTATGTTTCTACTGTACAGTAATTACATTTAAATAAGTTTTTAGAACAACTTTAGATAGCAGGTTTCCTTATTGAAAATGATGTTTAGAAGAAGGAGGTGCAGTCATATGAGTTATATTCATCGAATAATTGGTGCTGATCTGTCATTTGTTACGGTTGGTCTGAGTTTCACCGTGGCAAAAGGATTTTCTCCACTGCAAAGAAATACACAAAGTTACCAGAAGGCTCACTGTAATACACCATGTCAACAGCCAGACTAATGTTTAAGCCATGCAGTTTCTTCATGAAGGAGTTGTTTGGAGACTACAATTACAGCTTTAGGCTACAGGTTTCTATGTAATTTATTTTAATTTTTTAAAACCAACATTATATATGACAGATTTTTTCCCCAAAGATTGTATTATCAGCCTCAAGTGCCATATTTAAAATAATTCCATTCCTGAGAAAAGTTCAACCCATTTTAGCCATAATGTTTTACTAGGGCCCAGGAAAGTAAAATGCAGGAAAAACATCCTCTTATCCCCTCACAATTACTACAGTGATATTGGCCACTAAAAATGTCAGTGTGGATGTATTATAAAAGTTTTTAAAAATACCTTAGAAAAGGTGGTTTTATAATGCCATTCATATCAGGTTTCTGTAAAAGAAAGAATACATATATGCATATATATAGAAGTAGGCAGAAACAAATGCTACAGGTGGTCTTCTCACTATCCTCTAAAGAAAAGAGGCCCTGTCATTAAAACAAGATAAAACATCTAGCCATTTGCAGTAATAATTGTGCAGTTTACCTGCAGAGATACAGTTGGAGAGAGGAGAATTATCTCAGACCATCAACTTCAGAAAGGTAACAAAACCGCAGCTGTTTATGTGCAGGGTAGAGAAGAGGTATCCTAAGCCAGTGCTACCTTTTTCTGTTTTTTCAAGTTTAAGATCAAAGAATCAACCAGGCTCAGTTCTAGCTGCACTGGAACCTTTACATAGCTTTATAGGCTAGCTTTTGGTAGGTTAAAATAGCAAACGAAATGTCACTGAAACAAAGTCATCAACCAAAATATGTATTTTTGTGAAGATAACCTAGGAGATGGCAGTGTTGCAGCGTGAGCATTACTACAGGATGCAATGTTTCAGAAGTGATAAAAATGAACACCTACCAATGACAATAACGTCATTGGCAAACCTGTTGCACAAAGCAGGCATTTTGGCAAAAATTTGATGTCCACACCTTCTCTTCTCCCCTGCTTCAACTTCTAGTAAACAAGTCAGGCTTAAAGTTACATATTTTGAAATCAGCAGTGATCTTAAGCGTGTGCTTAGCTCGTACACGCACATGAACACTAACTGCAGTCACAATGCTGGGGGTAACTAGCATTAGACCTACAGCTTGCTTTGATGAATCTGAATCATATACTACCTTACTGAACACCAGCCATCAAAAACTTACCAACTACTAACTCTTTTTTGGATGAAAATCTTTTGTATAAAACTCTTCTACATAACACGTAATTAAAATCTTAAATTCCATCATATTTAAAACTGCAATTTGCAAGAACCATCTCTCATCTTTCCTGCTTGAAATCTTAAGCTGCTAACTCTATTCTGAAACAGAAAGGAGATGCCTCAATGAATCATTTTGTGCTTCTACATAAAAGACACTCTAACCATATCTTTCACATGTGTACAAATACTGGACCAGTCTACAGACTAGCTTGGAGTAATATTTAGCTTATTTCCAAAGCCTCATGGTGGGCTGGGAGTGGTGACTTTCACAGAAGCAGGAAAGACAAGGAAGCAGCAGAGAGATTCAAAAGAATGAAAGGAAATAGCAATTATGGAGCAGAATCCTCGGGTGCATGTGCACTGACTTTCCTCTACACTTTTTTATTTAACAGATGAGAAGAATCAGGAGATCACAGTAAAAATACAGCTGTTACGAGCTGCAGGATACCTCAACAAGAGTAGTGGCTAGCTTATGCTCTGCAGTCCCTCAACTTTTGGAACTTGCTTTCCCTGTGGAAATTTGGATGTATTTATCTTCCACTCCAAAAACACTATAAGCCAATCTGGCCTCCAAAGAGATTCTGATCAGAATCCTGTCCTACTCTTATCAGCTACATGATTTGCAGCTCCTCCTGCTTTTTCAGTTCAACAAGGTTGCTAGTCCATGACTCGTACATTTATTCATATAAATAAAATGTCATAAAATGAAAAAAAAACCCCTTTCTTAAGGTGACTGCTCTTGAGAGCTGCCAGAGGACAGTTAGCCATATAAAAGGCAGCAGCACAGTGAGACAATTTAACACATTCAATAATTTTAGGGCTGTACAGCAACTCACCTTTTTACTTGTCAGAGGGCAAAGAACTCACTGTACAGCTTCCTTGGCAACTTTCACAGGCTAATACATCTCCTAACTACCACTAACATAATTGCATTTGAAGGACATGTTGATCTCATAGGTCTCAACTGTTAGCCATAGAATAAACGAGCCTGTGTATAAGTCTGACATTACATGGTTGTTAGGGGTCATTGCTTCTTTATCCAAAAAGGAAACTCACAAATATGTCAAAATATAGACGGCTTTCTTCACAATAATTTTAGAAGTTCCCAGATACTTGATTTGGAAAGGACTCAACACTAAAATTTGCATCTTTTTGATATTCATTTCGTTGATGCGAAAAGGTTTTTTTCTTATAGAAAAACACTGTCCTAGTAGCACTATGGCACATACTTCCTACACAGCAGGGCTCATTACTGATAAAGCACTTAGATGAGTAAATCCACACTGAGATGTGGATTGAAATATGCTATATTGAAATACACCTGCTAATACTAGAGTGTTCTGACAAAAGTCCACTAAACTTTTAATAAATTTCTTAGAAAAAAAAAAAAGGCATCTCAAAACCTTACTATTGGGAGAGATCTTAATGAGAGGAGAGTTTCCCTCCTCCCCATCAAGCAACTTTCATTTTCCTTGTTGTGAACCTAATCTTAGCTGCCGAGCATAGAGTTCTTCACTCATTTTGAGGATCACAGATTCTCCATAATGACTTCTAGCAGTCTTACTTGCCTTCCTACTGGAGAAAATATACCTTTGTTTCAATATCTGTAACTTCAAGAGACATTTTTAGCAATGGTTAGCAGAAACGCGTCACAAGTGTAGCTGTTTGGCCAACATAGCTGTACAGAGGCTTTACAGAACCAAGTTCAATATGATGAAAGGTTTCCAAAAGGCCTGTAGAGCTGGACATCTCACAAGTTTCCTCTTAAAAAAGATTCTTTAGAATTTTCCTACTATGAAGTACAAATTTACACAGGCTACTTCAAATTGTACTGTATAATTCAACAAATCACTTAGGATAAATATCTGTCGCTCAGATCTTTATATTACTATATAAAATATTTAAGTTTTACCAATAAATAACTAAATGTAATTTATAGAATTCCCTCTCAGGAATTTTGCTTATTATAGACTTTAATTAGTACATCCATACCTCAACTACATCCACAAAAATAATATCAACTTTCATGGAGCTGCATGAAGTATTCCTGAACACAGAATTGAGCCTACTAAATTCTTAAGTGACTAAAGAAACTAAAGTCAACTAAGATGATGGATTTGTACTGCCTTCCATGAAGAAGTTCTAGTTTGTTCACTTGTTCCTAGAATATTCCAGGGCTTCACATAAGGTCTAGAAAACTAAGGAGGACAGAACACTTGGATTCAGGGTGTGTGATTACTTACAGCACCCCCACTTTCTGCTGATGCTTTAGCAGCGGTAACTTTGGAAGGCTCCATTCTCCTGTCTGACGTTGAACCTGTTTGCGAGGCTCCCACATAGTCTGGTGGTGGGAGGACAACCCCAGCTTTTTCTGCAAGATTTACAGAACTGACACTTCTGATCGGTGCAGGGCTGCAAGACATAATCCAACAAATGGTATTTTCAGTATTAATATAATATATCTTTTGCCCCTAGAAGATATCTTTAGTCCCAGGGAAGCCCAAGTGCAAGAGTTGAAATTTAACACAGGCACCGTCCCGCTGCAGTCGATGGGACACCAACAAGTCAGGGTGATGCTAGTTCTTGAGTCCACGGATAACCATCAAAACATGATAACGTAACCACGGCATCATCCTACAAACTGTTAGAAAGTTTTTACCATGCACATTCCTAAGCAACAGAGAGTGTGAGCAGAAAAGCAACATTTAAAATAAAAGAGAAATGTAAAGATTTGGGCATTCCAGCAAGTCTCATCTAAAGTGTTACCTTGGCACTGGGGCAAATGCTTTTTCTTCCGCTGGCTCTTCGAGTGGTTTTGTATATGAAGATGGAAACCATCCTTTGCTGTAATAGGAAGAGATTTTCACTTCATGTTACATAAAACTGGATCTATCTCTTAAAAGACAACACTGGACACAGCAGTAGGCTTAATGAAGTGAGAAGAATCAAGATCTAAAGACCTGTCTTGTGATGATACCAAGTAAGTGTACAAAGTCTCTCTACAATACATGCAATGATTTACTTTGCAGAAAGACTCTTCAAGGGCCCCAGGGATGAATGTCAGGAAGCAAAAATGTGGGAAAACATTTATCAATATTTGCTAATAAAATTGGTAAAGGCCACTTGTCTTTAATGTTCAAATAGGGGAATACATTATCTTACACTTTGGTTGAGTCATGTTCCCCGTAAAGCCAGCCGTCCTTTTCTTCAGCTACAAGAAGGGTGATGATATCCCCCTGTGCAAAGCTAAGGAGCGTCTTGTTATTTCCTGCAGTGTGTGGGAAGATTGTCTTTACTTTTTGTCTTTTCATTATATTGAGTCCTGTGGCGACAGAAGTCGAACGTGATAAACTGGCATCATCTGTGTTCTCTGTCAAAAAGAAAACCCGAAATTCAAAATAAAGCACACATTTACAAAGTGAAATATAGTTAGTTGTCTGATTAATACTGAAGTGCAAATCAAACCCTGACTTTGCATTGCTGCTGCTTTCCTCTGGGCTCACAAAATGCTAAATGCACAATCCGTAAGAGACCTTTGTCTAAAAAGAAAAATAATTTAACTGTATTTAGTGCATGATTTCAAGTATGCCTTGCACTCAAACAAAAGAAGATTTAAAGGAGGCCTTAAAACTGTAATTTGACCAGTATAGTATATGGTAAATGTATTTTTAAAAACTAATACAACAAATCTCAGTAGGATTTTGCATTTTAGTAAAGAAATAAAAAGAGTTTGTTCTATTTATCCCCTGTAGTACATGCTCTTAAAAAAAATGCTAGTTTATGTCTGTGTGCACTGAAATAATCACTTAGATATATCTTGCTTAATATTAGTGTCTTCTGTTAGACTGGGACTCTTAAGAGCATTTAAGCTGGGTTAATCGGGAAGGCCTGGAAAATGATTAAAATATAATCTGCCTGTCTTATTCTGCACTGTACTGCAAATGATTCTTCCTTCCATATGACTTAACTATTTGCTATTGGGTACCTAATATAAACACTTTGTAAAGACCATTTTCTGCTCCTCCATGTCTTCTGGAATTCAGGCATTGCATCACATGGATGTCAAGAAATCCCGTGCTAATTCTCAGCGTTAAATCATTTGCACTTATGTGAGTTGGTACCAAAACAACACTCACCTGCTGAGCTGTTTAGTCTTTCAGAAGATGCCTTTGAAACTGTAGCAGGATTGTTAAACATATCAACTAGCGGGCTAGTGTATGCCCTGCCTGCAGGAGCAGGGGGCACTTTTGATGCATTTTCTTGTTGAGGATAAAAATTATTTCCAATCTAGAGACACACAAACACACACAAAAAAAGATTAACACAATATTGAGGTGACAGTGACATCTTAGGTTACTTGCAGCATTGCATTCTAGAAAGCAATACTCAAATATACCTAAACTGTGTAGACCCTTCAGAGAGTCCTTGTGTTCCATCTAAATTGTTAATCAGAAAAGTTCATAGGAGGTTTCTGTCCCTCAACAAACATTTATCAGTGAAGTGCTCTGAAAAATCCCTTTCCACAGATTCTTACCTAGCTTAGTAGCTTTCTAAAAATATTTTGGACAGTGATGTCATTCAAAAATTAAGCAGCTGGTGGTAACTTAACATTCAGATAAATGAAATTTAGATTTTAAACTGTTCTTAAAAGTCTTGCTGAAATAACAGTCATGGAAGGGGGAAAGAAGAGGGAAAGCAAATAGGAAGTATCATTCTGTTTAAGTTTTTACATTTAACTACTGTCTATGCAATTATTGTAACTCATGGAGAAGAATGTCCGAAATGGGGCAGCAAGGACAAACGCAGTCCTGGGGCTGGTTTCTCTAGAAAGAATCCTATGCACCTCCCTGAAAGCTGGTGCATGCTTTTGCCTACTGTACTGTGTGTTTTGCCAGTACTAGAGTTTCAGTTTAATCATTTTCCTTTCATATCCAAACCCAGTAGATTCCAACAGAGGCAAATTCTGAAGATCTGAATCCAAATGCTTATATACAGAAGAAATAGTGAGGCCCATCCTTTCCCAGCTGAGAGACATAACCTTTAAGCCGCAGAGAATAACACACCTACCATGGTATTTCTTTCTATCATTGGTGAAGGCTGTGGAGTTCCTGATATTGGAGTGGAACCAGGTGTTGCTATTTCATCTATCATAATTTTAACTTTTTCAGGCACTTTTGTGGCATCACTACAGATTTCCTGCCACCCAGGCAACTTAGAGTTGAGGAATTCTGCACACTGCATCAAAATATAAAAGGTATTAGTTTTCATAAAACGCATAGACCTATTTGTTAAATTTTCTTTATACCAAAATAATATAACCTCAGTGAAATGGAAGTCTTTTAAGAGGTTTACATAATTAATATCTCCTTAAAACTAATAACATGATAGAAAGCCTGTACTTTTTCAGGTTTAAAGGTTGTAAATATTTGATCAGCTCATCTTTTTAAATATGATTTTTAAAAGCTAGAGTAATCTTTCATTGTTGCTGTAGTGCATTTAAGAGACAATTGAACACATTTTCTGTGAGCTGACCAGGACAGAGTGTGTCCAATTTCAGAGTTCCTTGTGCTGTCTTAGCTCTTCATGCCTGTCTGCTCAGCCTCCTGCAGGAGGCACTGCACATCTCCTCTGGGATTATTAGACCTCAGGAGTTCTGCTTATGTTAATGCCACTGACCTGAACGTGATAGAAGTTCATGTGCTGAGTAAAACTGCAGTGTTTATCCACCAGAAAACAGAATCTCCTTTTCTCTTCAAGGAGAGCTTCTCTGCAGCCTTCTGCAATGAATCTCTGAATATCACTCTGTCGAGAGCTCACAGTTTCCACATACTAGGAAAAGAAAAAATATATGCAACCTCTGAGTTTGATTTGATACTCTATCTTATTGCTGAAATGAACTCCAAAATCCTCACAAAAGGTTTTGGCAAGGCGAGATGGAACAGGCTGGGGCAGTGAGAAGGCTCTGCTTCTTTCCTGCACACTATTCTCTTTTCATACACACACTTAACTCTTATATTAACTCTTATACTAACTTGATATTTCAAATAAAATTTCTGATTACCTTGCCATTTTCCATTTCACCTCAAGATGGCAGTGGAGTTTTAAGTTCAGTAGGATAGGTCATAACAAGTGATAACAGAAATTGCCATTTGCCTACTTTGGGAAATAAATTTATAGCAGATTTCAGCTGAATTTGCATGGCACAGCTAACTCCCTGTGTAAGCATCTGCATAAAGGTTTAGTTACAGAGATATGTAAATAAAAAAAATCAATCAACCAACCCAAAAGAACCCCAAAAATTCAGAAGTAGTGGTCAAAGAATTAATCCTAGAAACTGAAGGAAAAATTTCTGAATAAAAACAGCACTGCAGTCCAAAGCCTCATTTCAGCTGGAATATATACTCCAGCAGTACCTTTAATACAACCTGACTTTGAGAAATTAAAACCAACATATTATTTGAAATTTTAGAGATTACCTATTGCCAAACAACTTGGAGGAGTTATATATAGTAACTAATTACATTGCATATACAGAGGCTGTGGTAAGCTTTAGATGTCAGGTGCTAGAAAAGACTCAGCTGGACATTCTGGCAGCATAACATTTTCTGTTGCCAGCTCTCACAAACATGAAACAAATGAGACAACTCACTAACCTCCATCTCTTTATGCTCGTACTTCATGGCATTTCGTGCTCCTTGACTTTTCCTTCTGATTTTTTTTAGCTCAGCCTGGGACTTTTCTAAAGAATCTAATTTGCTTCTGTGTTCAGTTTGGTACCTCTTTAAAGTTGCCTGAAAACAAAGCATTTAAAACATCTCATAATGCACACAGTAATATAACTGCATAAGTGACCACAAAGTGTTGCTCATATTTTTTCTGTATTACTAATTCAACAACAAATAGATTTGCCAATTGCTTTTTTTCCACTTTAGTTTAAAAATGCTATTGTCATGCATTACTTCCCTGACATGTTTTGTAAATTTTTATATATTTAGACCACAGTTCTGATGCATTGATTAACTGACTGAATAACTTCTGAAAAAAAATCTATTACTAGCAAGAGATACATAAAATATGATATTCTTTGCTATTGAGTTCAATGTACTTACATTCATGTATTTAACATCCAGTTCTGTTTTCTTCTCCAGTTCAGATATAATTTCTTTATGAAATTTTTTGAACTTTAAAAGCAAATGAATAAAGGGTTATTTTAAAAAAAGCACAAAAATCAGTTTATATTTTCAAAATTTCAAATAGGTTGAAAGAAAATCCTTTAACTTACGCTTTCCTCTAGACAATCATTAAGTTTCTTGTGTGTTCTTGAGATTTCCACAAGAACTTGGCCTGTTGATAAACACAGCAATATTTATTTCTTAGATGTCCAAAGTTATTTAAAAAGGATTAGTACTAAAATATATTTAACTAATATATTTATTATTTAGAGTATATACATAAGAGGAATTAGAAATTTCTTGCTATGGCTAATCATAGCGGTTTAACTAAATAATTGCATCTGGCCACAGAGTACTAAGACACTCATAAATTATAGAATAACTAATCATGTTTATTATGCAGAAGAGCCATGGAGTGCCAGACAAAATAAAATACTTCCTTTTCTACAGAATAGAACATACTGATTTAGTAAGATCTTCTTTTCTTGCCATGTCAGAGAATAGCCGGCCAGCAGCAGAGGCAGTAAATAATATCAAGTAACCACTATTCATGTTTTGGTCTGAAAATTACATCTTATTGTTGGTTAACTAGCTGCATGCTCAGTGTTAACAGAGTAACCTTTCACATCCATTCACAGGGCTAAAACCCATCTGACACGTTTGCTGATTCATTTCTCACGCTGTTTTAGCAGAGATTAGAGCCTGGCTGGAAGGCACCGACTAACAGCCAAGAAGAGGCAGATTTCTCATCTTCTCCTACAGACCTCAATGTGCCCGTGCTCTTTGCTCTCTTCCAGCACAATCCCTGACTCCTGATGCTACCTGTTCCGCACAGACTGTTTTGCTTTGTGCTGGAAGGGCGCAGAGGTGGAGGCCTCGCTGCCAGCGCCGTGCGCAGCCCTGCACCGCGTCACCCTGCTGCGGGCAGCCACGTCACCCGGCCCCCTCGCTGCCCTGGCACCGACGGGCCGTCTACGTGCCAGTCTGGGCGCGGGGATTGCGACACGCTGCTGGGAACGGGAGCTGGCAAGAGCCCGGAACGCCCAGCTTGACTTCACCCAGATTAGGGCTGGCAATAAGGAGTTACTACATCTCAGACAGGAGCCAGTAAGAAAGGCTGAAAAGGTACGGGCCGCAACCCGGTACCCCAGTCACATCTAACCCAAATGTCTTTTGACTACAGAGTTGTTCTGCTGTCGCTGAACACTCATTTCCATGCCAGGGCGGCAGGTTGAGTTTCGGAGCTGGATCAGCAGCTTGCCTCCCCCAGGCACTTCTTCATTTCACGTTACACAGGCGGCAGTCCTCACACAACCACACGCCCCTGGGACTGTTCAGATTCTGGAGTCACTGGCAGTCCGATCCCAGCTGCCCCCAGCTTGTTAATCTGACACTTCTCTCCACTTCCTTTTTCCATAAATACCTGATGAGTTAACTGTTTAACATGCTGCTCTCCAAATCATGCTTTCCTCCATCCATACTCATTAAGAAGCCATCCTGAGTTAGCAGAGATTTATCATCCCACAACCCTTCAGATCCTTCAGATGCAGGCAGAAGGTTTTACTTTCTTTAACATGAGAAACATATTTTCCATACTGCAAAGCAAGACAACGCTGTGGATCTTTAACTAAATAATGGAAAATGTGGGGTAGTGTCACTGTTCACGGGGAAAGCAGGAAGAAAAGCAGGTGCCTTCCCTGGCTTCTTGGGAGTGTCTGTTCATGCCCCTCTTCCCGTTTTGGTGCCCCTTGGCTTTGTGCAAGAGGCTCTGTGGGCCTGGGGAGCAGGAAGCTGAAGACACAATGGAAACAGCCAAGCCCTTGAAATAATATACAAAAATATTTATAAATTATATAAAACACTACATGCTCTTTTTATTCTGTTTTCATGTGTCTTTCTATATGGTTTCCGGAATTTTTCTGAATTTTGTACTTAGGGTTGCTTGTGCTTACAGAATTGTTAGGGTAAATACTATGAGAAGGGAGAATTGCTGCAGTAATTAGTTATTTCATATGCAACAGAAAGGTAAGTACAATATAGTTGCATGAAACAATTGTGAAGTAGGTGACATGAGTTAGTTGTTCTTCTTTTTGAGGTTGCTGAAATGGATGCACTCTGGTCTAGTATTTTTGTATACTAAACTCAATTGAAATGATACTATGCATTTTAGACTGGAATGATGTTTTAAAACAGGATGAATTTACTAAACACTTTTCAGGTACTTATAAGGTAAAACACTTTAAAAAAAGAAGAAATATAGAACAGTAAGATTTGTTTTTAAATACTCAAAAGAAAAATGTGTTTAGGAAGTTATAGAAATTCGAGGTGAACATTGAAATGGCCATCAAAATAATGGCCCTTACTGATTTTTATTCTCTTTAAAATCAGCTTATTTTCACTCTTCATTAAAAAGTATGTTCTGAGAATTTGCTGCCAAAGCAACACACTTAGCTAATACTTGGCAAGGCGAACGCAGCCAGCCGCAGCCGTCCCGCTCCTGACAGACACCCAACAAGGCTGGGTATTGACTCAGCTCTCTCATCACTCTCACCCTCCCTTCCTCCGGCCCACGCTGCCACCACAGTGTAAACGCGCAATAAAACAGCCCATTCACCTGGTGCGGCAAGAATGGAAAAGCTGACGCTCGGGGGCTGTTATTTTTGTCTCAAGCAGCACTGGAACTGACTGCAGCCTTCAACTTTTTAGACTTTGGATACTTGGTCAGAAGCGGTATTTTTTCATCTTTTTTGTTTTATTTTATTTTAACAGAAAGAATACTGCCAAAACATGTTTTGACATTGAGTACTTTAAAAACTGCACTTCCTTCTTAAAAGTTTGTGCTGGGTTATTTTACAAGTTTATTTTCTTCACCCACCCAGAACACTTTAAATATTATTTTTAAGTATCAGTGACTGTCTCTCCCATTGCGTTTTCTTTTCCTCTCAACCAAAGACTCCCTGTGTGCTGGGCATCAGAAAAAAAATATTTTAGGCTAGAAACTCCCTCGTGCTACCAGTGATGCAGTGGCACTGTATGTACCGGCTCACCCATTTCATTTCCTCTTTCATGTTCTGAATCAACACTTTGAAAGGAACCCATAGAAAGCACAATCTGACCTAATAAGATTTAAATTATAGGTCAAACTCTGCACTGCAGATTAAATAGAGAGCACTTTGAAAGTGAACATATAACACGTTCTTTTATTGCCAGCTTCAGGTAAAAGGTTGGCCAAATTTTGATGGCCCTCACAAGTAAGATTTATGCAAGGAGACAAGTTTTTATAGAAGACTAATGCAAGAGAGCCAAGGTGACCCCTTGCCTAAATGAACAGGAATAGGGAATTGAACATCTGCAATGTAATATTTTGCTTTTAATTAAAACAATGAATTATAGAACAGCTCCAGCAGAGACAGTGGGTTCCTCTAAATTAGTAACAGTTCAAACTTAAGATGTGGTTCTGGTTTTCAGTGATTATTCAGCTTGCACAAAGGTGTGGGAAGCATACTACCTGAGGGGAAGACAAGCATTTCTCATGTCAACTACAAATATTTTGCAGTAAATTAAAGCTGTTCATGATCAGTTTTTATACACACAGACCTCATAATATACAGTAACCAAATATTAACCTTGTCATCATTTCCTGGCAAACCACAGAGGTAACAAACCTAATGACTTGACTAGACTACATGATAACAGGCCACTTAAGGCCAATTTATGACAGACCTACTGTAAACCTTAACCAGCTTTAGGCATCATATTATGCAATGAATTAATAAAGCAACGACACCACAGTTGATTATGAACATAATTATGTCCTAAAATACTTCCCCATCAGATATACCATTTTTCATTTTCTAACCTCCCATGTGTAATCTCAGTGACTAAAATGGCAGAAGTTAAACAAGGTACATCAAATATGCCCGTATTTATTTTAGAAAACAAAAATATAGTCCAAAACATTTAAAGATACTTGTGTTATCAAGCAACACTTGAGCACAAGGACATCCTTAAAGTCTGCACAGTAGATAAAAGTGATTTTTAATACGAAGCATCCCTTGAAAAAAAATAAGCATATTCATGGTAAAATCAGAATATGGAATTTTGCAGCAGTTACACTTTAATCTCAGTGTTCACACTGGGATTGTAGTGGTTGTTTATCTCTACAGTGTATGTTGACTGTTCTTAGAACAGACGAAGAGATGAATTTGTTCAAGGCAAACCAAAGACAGAATTTTTGATCAATAGAGTGCTGTCCTGTAGATAAATATTAGCAGCTACTAACAAAATCATTTAAAACAAGCTCTGAAAATATTAAATAGCTATGGTAGAAGTAATAAAAGTAGTAACTGCATGACCTGCTTGAAATGAGCTTAGATTTTGTTTTCTCTAGAGGAGATCACTCTGGAAACATTTCAGAAGTCACTCTAGTAAGACTCTAGTAAGAGAATGAGAGACTGAGTCAAAGCTACACATGAAGACAGTAATAGTTCAAGTATATTATTAGTTTCAATTTCTGTCAAGATATTCTCTCTCTCTTTTTTTTTTTTTTTCCTAAGTTGCCCAGTGCCCAAAGAAAGGCATTTATGACAAAGGAAAGTTAGAAAACAAAGTCCTTTGAGACCATTAACCCCTGGAAAGTAAATAGAAAGTTGCAAAGGAATACAGTATAACAAATACAATTGAACAAGACATCTGTTAAGACTCAAATGCAGTAAGCTTTTTATTCTCTCATAAAAAAGGATTTATTGTGGAAGGAAGATTTAATTGTGTAGCAGATACCTTGAAGAAGGCAAAGAGCCTGAATTTAGCCTTAATGGAATTTAATATGAATCAATAAAATGAGAAAAAGGATAATGAAACGTAACAACTTACAAACTCTTAACTGTACTTTGCTTCTAGTACAGTTCACCCTGAATGTTTTAAAAATCCGTAGAATTAATACTACCAGGCACATAAATCAATAGGACTAGGTCAAATCTGCCTTTCCTTACTGCACGAATGAACATGAAATAGGAAGCAAGGAGTAAATCTCGCTCAAGCCCATTTTGTAAAAAGCCACTGACACAAGACCGTTCAGGGCCACTTTATGAAGGTGACTGCAGAAGGTGAAGGGGGGAAAACTTACAGTAGAGAAAAAGGAACTTCACATTTTAAAAGGGATTATCAGATTAT